CCCCTTTTGGGGGATTGGGGAATTAAACCTTTTTTTTTTTTATGGGATAGTTGTTCTCCCTGTTGCACCGCAGAGAGGGCAGTTAATAGAGCCACCTCTGTGAGGACCTCACATGCAGATAATATGCTGAAAAGCCACCCATCTCCAGTGTCATGGGGAAAGGGGATTTCTTGCCCCAGGTTAGGTTTTTTTCCTTCTGATACCAGTACAAATACATTTGGCTTGGGTTTTCAAGGTTGAAATCTAGCTAAACTCTTAGTGTTGAAATAATACGTTCATCGATGAATGAAATTAAAAAAAAAAAAACTCACAAATGCTCATGTTGTCCCTTGCCATGTCAGTACTGTGTCTGTGGGCCCTGACAGCCCAATTATGGCTTGGGAATTAACTGACCTCTGCTGGTCTTGATAATTCTGGAATAGGAGTGCAAATGGAATGGAAGAAATGGAGTAGTTTGTCTAAATGTGCTTCCCCACTGGTTAAAATTAAAGCAGTCACAGTGGAGGCAATATTTATTTTACGAACATTTACATGGTATGAGTTTGCTTTTGGGAAATGTCCCTGTTTTTTGTGGGAAAAATTGTTTTGACTTGGGTAATAAATAATAATTAACCATGGTTGACATTGTAAGAATTGTTTCTCTCTCCTCCCTCTCCTCAATCTTCCACATCCATTTAGTCACCAATTCCTCAAATATATAATGATCACCTACTATGTGTCAGACACTGTGGCCAAGTCAAACAAGATGTGGTTCATGGCCTCCAACAGAGCAGACGAGCAAATCAGCATTTGGAGTGAGAGCATTTGGGGAGCCCCTGGAGGTAGGGAGGAATGAAGGAGCACAAGGTTGAGACAGTGAGGAGCATGAACAACAGGAATTGGTGACTAAATGAACCTTTATCATTAATTCTTAATTTCATGTCTTCAAGCAGAGAGCACAAATCACACTAACTAAATTATGGAATCAACTCAAATGCCTGTCAATAGATGGACTAAGAAATTGTGGTATATAGATACATTAGAGTTCTCCTCGGCCATAAAGAAGAATGAAATTATCACATTTCCTGGTAAATAGATGGAAATGGTGAATATTATGCTAAGTAAAATAAGCCAGAAGCAGAAACTCAAAGGTTGAATGTTTTCTCTCACGTGGAATCTAGAGTAAAATAAAGGAGAGGAGGATAAAAGAATAAAACACCATAAATATAGAGGGAAGATCAGTAGTGTAGAATAAGGAGATCAAGAAGTGAAGAGTGAAGGGATGGGAAAAGGGAAGGCAATTCAAAATGAATTCTTAAAAAGTCATGTTATGTGCTCATATAAATATACCACAGAGAATTTCACCTTTATTTCGTATAAGTAAAAAGAACTGATCAAATATAAATAGATGAATGAAAGGAAGTCTAGCAGGGTAAAGAAAGGCAAACAGATTGCAGAATCACGTCGGTTGATTCTGCAATCTGCATTTGGAGTAAAATTGGGAGTTCATAATCCACTTCAATCTAATGTATGAAATATGATATGTCAATAGCTTTGTAATGTTGTGAACAACCAATAAAAAAATAAAAAGAAAAAAAGAAAAAAAAGAAAAAAAAAGGCAAACAGGGGAGAAGAGGAGGGCAGGAGGGAAAACGGGAAGGGAAATGGGAATATGACTGAAATCAAATTCCATGTGTGTATGATTTTGTCAGGATGAACCCAACTGCTCTCTATATAACTATGAAGCTCTAATTGGGTGGGAAAAGGATATTTGAAGGAAGTAGCATTAATTTATTATCTTTCTAAGAAGATTATAAATGGTCTGACTCCTACATTTAAAACTTTTTTAATATTTGTAATATTTACTTAGATGTGGTTCCAAACTTCCTAAAAATTTTAAATATATGATAAGAAATCAAAAAGTAATTAATATATGTGAAGACTGAGAGACTCATATATAACAAGTGTTTAACAACATTGCTCACTTCTCATCTTTTCTATATTTTCCTTAAACAACAATTAAAAAAGGAAATAATAAATTTCTTAAGATTCAGTTATTGGCATTACCATCTATGCAAAATAAAATAAGCAATGAAAACAAACTGAATAAATAAATAAGTGATGTAACTATGGCCCCAGAAAATTAAGTGGCTCACATATTAATAAGTGGGGAAAAAACTTGAACAGGATTCCATTTTCTCAGTATTTAGAAAAATGAATTTGCTTTTATATTATACAAAACTCCTATTAATACTAGAAGGCTTTAACATAAGGACTTTGAGATGTTTTTAATTGGTTGGCAAACAGTGGATGCTGTGATCTGACTCACAAAGTTATTACCACTACTAGCTTAGAAATACCATAGAAACAAGTGATATCATTAAAATGAAAAGGAATTTTCATGAGGTTCTTGTTAAAATATTTTTTTTAGGAAAATACATTTAGCCATTATATACCATCATGTACTATCTTTGATTTTCACTATTTTATTAACAAAATCTCTTGGCATTGGTAATTAAAATATTGATAGTAGTTTTCTTTATAGTTTTGCTTTCTGTAAACAATGGCTATATACCCTAAACTGTGAATTTCTAATTAACTAAAGTTTCTATTCCTAAAATGTGGTTTTAAACCCCTGTTTTTGAATTTTCAATTATATTACAAATATCTATACACCCCAGTTCTTGATTACCACTATAATTACTGTGCACTTATACTATGGTATTTATTATATTGGGTCACAATTACTTACGTATTTATTATTTTTCATATAAATTCTTAATGCTATCAGCAAAGCCTCAATCAATCATCTATTTTATTAGTATATAGTGCAGTCCTAGATAGAAAAATTGTAGCTATGCAATAGATAATGACATTGCTTATTAATCACTTACTATGTATCAAACAATATTAAGTAGGACTATCTAAATAATTCAAAATATAACTAAACTGTAGAGTTTAATGTGATGACTGAATACCAGATTGGCATAAAAATAATTTTTTAAAAATAATAGAAATCACCTTTTAATCATTGTAATGTACCCTCATAACTATAAAATTTGTACATTTTTAAGAATAAATTTTATTTAAAAAGAATAAAACCTGTATGAAGAAACAAAAAATTATTATCAAATATATAAAAACATATATACTCTGAATAAATGAAAGGAAATATATTCTCAAATAGCATGGGTTAATATAACTTCTAGTCAAAATTTTTCCTTTATTAATTAAAAGGTAATAAATTCTTCCTCTTCTCCTAGATAAAGCCAAAGCAAGTCAATGGACAGTGTGAAGGTATTTTGGAAGACAAAATAAGCACACAAAAGTTTTCAGCTATTTAAACGGGACCTTCTCCTCTTTAAAATTTTGTACTGCTTTTTTTGGGATTAATGAGTATCAGTTAATAATTTAAAGATAATTTGCATCTGGAAACACAGTCATGAATTTTTTTATTTTCTAAAATTGATTTGTCTATGAAAGAAGTTGTTTTTCATCCATATTCCTAGTTGTCTCATCTCCCACCAAATAAATGCCTGACTGAGAGCAGGGTTGATGATGAAGACCTCTGCATTCCTGCAGGGAATAGGGAATGATGCCGTACTTCATGCACACAACACAGTTCATTCCCTGCAAACCACAGGGCTCAGCAGGCATGGTTCTTACCTGGCTGAACTCCATATTAAATAGTCTGTCCTGAGAAGAAATTAACACATTTCTCTTGTGAGCCAAGAGAGAGGAGTCAGGCCATGACACATTGGACTGAGATACAGAGATTCTAATCAGACTTGAATTTGAAAATCCAATATAAACAAAAGCAAGAAAGTATGGAGATGAATATTCTGTCTGAGGAGCAATCAAATGCCAGAAGTAAATGAATTATGAGTGCATGAATGTGGAAGGAAACATGTGACCAATCAAGGGGGGATGAAATAGAGGAGTAGCTTGATGGCTGTGCCTGTCAATAGTGGTGCCACAATGTCCACTGGGAATGCTCACTCTGAAGAAGGATTTAGCAAAGCCTGTAACATTAAGCATGTGTGGATATTTGGAGTTGTGTGCAATTACAGACTTTGATGCTGGCTGTTAAGTTCTTTCTGAAGATATTTAGCTTAGAAAGTTTGAAAATTTTACATGCTTCAAGAAGTAAAATAAGATCATCATCTTCATCAAAATTAGAAAAAAAATGGAATGTTATACATTATCTCAGAACTTACTTCGATTATCATAGAATGAGGTAAGCTTTATCATACAAATCAACTTGTAAGACAACAGCACATTTCTGAAGAAAACTTCAGTTTAGTGGGGAAAAATGTGTTTTGAGTGATTGTTAATTAGCAATTACATTTCAAAGATTCCCATGCAGTTTTTATATGGTAGATTTCTTCACTAGCCACATTAGAACTAGATATAATTTTAAAAAGCCATAGAATAGCAAAAGTTTTCCAAATATTCAAAACATGGACCAGATCTTCTACTCAAAGGTAACTTTAATCTTACAACAACCTAAAGATGGCTCTTCATTTAAATCCTTTCAAATGGCCCATCAAAAAATTGAATGGACTTTATACCAGAAAACATTCAAATGGAAAATTCTGTGCTTCTCTCACACATTGTCACTGCATCTCTGTGCTCTTGCAGTTATGAAAATAAAATATTACATTTACTTCCCTGAAATAGATTTAAATATTTCAAATCACACTTTATGAGAAATTGAGCTACTATTAAGATTAGAATGAAGAAATGCTATTTTTGTGGAAGAATTTCCAATAAAGTTCACAGGTAACTATATATACAATGAATGTGTTCCATGACAGGTGACATATTTTCCAGACATTTAATTTGTTGTTTATTCTAGTAACTTGTTCAAAATTTCAGTTGGAGTGTATTCTTCTTTTGCTGTGATGCTGGATCAATTTACTTAAGGTTTACGCAGAATTTTTCCTTGTGTGTAAATAACAGCTATAGGTTTATATCTTTTTTCTTCCTGAATTGTCTTTTAGTATTAGGATAACACTAACCTTAAATAATATATTGAGAAGAATTTCTTTTCATTCAATTTTCTGGAACAGATCATGTAAAACTGGTATTTTTTAAAAAAGTGTTTGGCAGAATTCAGTGTGAAACCATCTGGGCCTAAAAAAAAAATGAAGGCTTTAGAAATATGACTTAAAGTATTTAACCACTTGTCTGGCCAGACTTACTTTCTGACTACCTTCTATAACTTCATTTTTAAATTTTTAGTTTCTCAACTATAAATGGGCTGACTTTAACCTGTTGTTAGCAATATAAAAAATTATATAAAGACTTAAATTATATAAAAATTATATAATGACATAATTAATCTCCCTGAGGTATTAATTACCATATTTGTTTTACTGGAAGGCTATATTTGTATATTCTGTTGGATTATGTCCTTGTAAGAAGAATATGTAAACGCAAAAATGAAAAAGTAAGAACAGAACTGATGTTTCTTTTTTGTTAAAATTTAATTTTAAAGGCAACTATTTTGGAGAATTTTCTGTGAATAATCATCTATCTGGGCTTAGTTACCTGGGGTTGATTATGAATACCATAGAAGCATTGCATGAGAATCTCATCCATGTAGTTCTTTAGATAAGCTTTTTATTTAAAAAGCTGATTACTTTTGTTTAAAAGAAAGGCCAAGGACAAATGTAGATTTCAAGCTTTGAATTTATTATTTATGCAGGTAAAATATCATGTAGTAGGGATGGCAAAGATGTCCAGTCTTTCTCTTTTTTATCATGTTGTTTTAGGAGACAAGTAGTTCTCCTTTTTGGGTGAAGTTCTATGACCAAAGTTCTGTGGTTACACAGCCTTCAAAATTCTTAACTTAAAGCAGCAAATTGATATCTAAGTCCAAAGCTGTTATTGTGGCTGATGCTACTTTTGTAAATTGCTGTAGGGGACAGATATTTCTGTAAAGATCCAGGAGAAAAAAAAAATTGCCATTTGGGATCAAATTGCTAACTAGTATGCCTCCAATTTCCCTGGGTATGTCTCTGCTAAATGATGAAGCCATTGCATATAATCCTGCCTGATGTACACTAGGCATTTTAGTAAATTTTGTTTTCACATTGGCAAGTAGCCTTGCACTTTTCCTTGAGTAGTTCATGATCACAGCCAGCTGTGCTCTTCAAGGACTCACAGTTACTAAGGAGATCTTCAAACTCACAACTATTGGCTGTAACAAAAACAGATTTAAATCACCTTACTGTCATTTTCCACTGTATCAGCAAAACAATTCATACATTCAAAGTGTATGAAGGAGGAGGGGAGAGTGAGCAACAGGTTAGCATCACTTATACTTCATGTCTTGAGGGACACATAACATGTCTTAGTTGGGCTCACTGACTAATCCATTACTTTTAATTCAGTGATCTATATGAACTCATTGGTACAAAAGAGTAGTGTTTGGCATACTGGTCTAGACTGAGTCATAATAAAATCTTAATCCCCTTTAGATATATTCCTTTGAATTTTTAAAAATTAACTTGGCGGGGCTGTGGTTATGGCTCAAGTGGAAGAAGGCTCGCCTAGCATGTGTGAGGCACTTGGTTCCATCCTCAGTACCACATAAAAATAAAATAAAGAGATTGTGTCTACCTAAAACTAAAAAATATTTAAAACATAACTTGGCATAGTGATATTAGCTCCAATAAAACAAACTATTTGTCAGAAGTGTATATTTAATATTAATCAAATCTACAGCTCAATCACTGATGGTAGATTACACATATGTCATATTTGATAATGTGTTTTCATTATAATTAAAATATTAGTTACTGAATTGTAAGTTTATTTAGACACACTGTTCAGTATATCTTTCTGGCTTTTGTTTTGTTATTTAATTGGTTTAGGGGATTTCTTAATTCATAAAAAGAAAGGAAAACATCAATTCTCTTACAGTAGGAAGTTAATAATTCAAACTTACTGCATAGTCCATTTTCACAGTTATTAGGGCAACTCGCACAAGGTGTTCCTTGTTGGTAAGGGTTATTCTTTTTACTCACGTTATTACCACTGAAATGTGAAATACACAGTGTCAAATATCTTTAATTTGCTCTTTGGATCATACTCTAATGTATCAGCTGCCAAATAGCTAATTCACTCTTTTTAGTGATGTCAACAAAACTGAAAAAACATAATTCCCAAAGCAGTATGTTAGAAAGAAATAAGAATTAAGAAAATGCTTTCTTCATACATTGGCCTATCTCTTTAACCATAATTTCACAGGTTGAGCCATTCAATTAAGAACTAGCATATAGAATATGGAGAATATTATAAGCAGTTAACAGCTTCTTTATCTCCAAATAAATGCAACCAAGTTGCTAAGGCAATGCACCCTAAGTGCTGGTTAGGGACAAAGCATATTCCCTAAAGAGAAAGATTTTGGAGGTAGGGGGTTACAATAAAGAGAAGAATGTTCAGCATTACCATATCATTTTATATTTGAAGAATGAAAAACACCTTAATTTATCTAATACAGAAAAATAAAGCTTCAGAATATTTTTGCCCCTTCATAAAGGTAGTGATTTTCAACTAATGAGTTGTGTGTTGTTGGAACCACGTGCTGAAGGAAATTCTGTCAGTTTCTAGACTTGGCATGTGTGAGATATCTATGTTCTAAAAAAATTTTTTTTTAAAAAAGAATGCTGGTTAAGAAAAGTTTTGATGAACAACAATACCCAGCACTAGATGATCTCACACTGATTAACCCATGGGTTAATTATCTTTTGGACTACTTAATTAATTTGAAATTATATAGGAATCCAAATCTCAATGAAGCCAAGTGGGGAGAGGGCCCAAGGCAATGTACCTGAGTGTTCCCCTACATAGAGCAGAGCCTTATGTGTGTGAACACTGGGAAAAATCATCAAGTAGAAAAGTGTTCTGGGAGTTCTTTCCCCTACTTCCTCTCATCAGTCATTCTAACTCTCAATTCCTAAGCCTGGCTTCAGTGTCCTGTTTTGAGGGCAAGGCTGTGAGTTTAGATGCACTCTCCTAGGGCCTTTTAGTTCTCTCCACTAAACCCTAACAGGTGCTTGCAGAAACACAACTTTATGGTTCAACCTTCTCAAATGAAACCTTCCATCACCTGGATTATCTGTCTCTACACAAGTCCTATATAGCATATTTGGGTTGGGGTTCCCCTCCCTCCAGTAATAAAGAATTTCAAATGTTTAAAAATTAAAACTCACATATATCATGAATATATCTTCATTATGAATTTATTTTTGAGGATAACTTTGCACATACTGTTTGAAAAAGGGGGCATGATTCTGGCTACAAATCGAGACACAAGATAGTTATGGAGTTTCTTAGGTAAATTCTGGGAAAATAAAAGAGTCAAGATTTATCTTTTTCTGGGTTCTGAAATAATAAAGTTCTCCTGAGAAGTCTTTGAGACTCTCGAAGATGACTCATTTGTGATGGTAACAATATGTTGTTTAGATAAACATGAGCAGGACTCTTTGAAGAAAGGACTAAAATTTCAATATATTAACCCCTATTTGCAATCCTACCAGCACCCCTTGTTTAATCATTAAGCTTCTAGAGATTCAGAGTTTGAAGTTAGCAAACTGATGATACAAAGTCTAGAGAGGGATCACACATGCTCACTGAATAAGCCTAACCCTCAGGAAAGATAATTAAAGAAATTACATCATTTTATAAATGAGGAATGAGAGCATCATTTATTTGTGACTGAGAACTTGGTATCTTCTCTGAGAAATTAAAGGTGTCTCAATCTTAAACATTATTTCCAGAAATGTATCACACCTTTATTGAGTTATTCTTTTCCTATTGATGAATATATGAGAATTTAAAAATATTATATTGCAGATACAATTATTGGCATTAAACTCTAATGTGAACACTTACGCAGGACAGTACTGGCAAACATAGAAGTATTTTAGACTGTCTTGATTGGGACAGTAGGCAACTCCACATCCAACGCGGAAGGATGAATACCAAACAAGCTACAAATCCATAAGAGAATGAGCATATCGGGGTACATGTTACAAAAGTAGAAAATATTAAAAAAAGAAATAATAGCAAATATAACACTGATGATGTTACTGTGGTTAAGTTTAGGTCCACATCTTATGAAAATATTGAAATTTACTGAATCAAAGTCATGCACTTTAAAAATACCAACATTTTATGTACATTCACAAGCTTACCTAATTATATTATAGGAGCAATACTGTGTATGTTTTTCCCTACCAAACATTTTTTGGACCATGGATAAAAATAGCAGATCTCAATGAACTATCAGTCAAATGCCAAGATTATTATGATTACTTAAGCTGTTTCCGCAAACTGTTATAATGTTTGTGGCAGAGGGATTTCACTGTTTCCCTTACCTGAGTGTAATGTCCAACAATTGCCTGGGGATTCTTTGGTCCTTTACCATAGGTAAATCCACGGCTCTCATCATACCAGCTTTGGATTGCCGTTGACCAGGGAGCAGGGTCACTTGACATGTAGAGATTCTCGCCACATTTTGTAGCTAGGAAGGAACAGATCATATATGAGGAAGGCAATAAAACTCAAAAAAGAAATTGACCTCACAAATGCAAAGATGCTGCCTTTCAAGTACAGGGTTCATAGTTGCTAACTTCTGACTGATAAGAGGAGGCTATCTTATCTCCAGATCAACTTTAGAGAAGATTAGAAGACAGAATTGTCTAAATATTGAGACTGGCCAGAACTTGCAAATTTTTTAGTAGATTGAGAAGATCCTGTTCTTTAAAAGTCCTCCTCCCTCTGGATTATCTAGGATGCAATCACTTATACACTTGGAGTTTTCAAGTGTGTGTGCCTCACTGCTTTCAGTGTGTATTGCATCCTTGCTACAGGTAGCCACCAACACCTAATTGCAATTTCTCTCCTGCTCTTACTACCCTCACCAGAGATTTTTCAAAAATAGGATGCTCAAAAAATGTTCATGATTTTGTGTCAAATTTGAACAAAATAAAAGGCTTTTTAGACAGTCTTTAAGAGTCCCAATTGAGAGACAACTGACCCCAGGAAGATAGTTTTCAAAATTATGAGTCTTCCCTTACCAGAAAACACAATGTCACAAACCCAAATTTCTGGGCATGTCTTGTAGCCCCAAAATATTTCCTGTACTTTGAAAGCTCTCAATTAATATTCAGCTTTCAGTGGCTTGAAATATAATGTCTACATACTGCTTATAAAGAAGATAAAATATTCTTGGTTATCTTTTTTAACAATGAAGAAAAGAAAGTAAAAAATTAACAGTACATTTGGATCTTCAAGACTGTTTTAGTCTTACACTGAATATGGCCATTTCTATAATTTTATTATGATTATAGCATCAAACTAAATAAATAATAACAGTTCAATTAAAATAACAGGTTAATGATTAACTGCTTTCAAACTGGGCTTGCCTATCTATATGATTCTTGATAGTAAGTAAATATTTTATGTAAAGCCCATACATACAAGTTTTTTTCTCTCATAGTATTTATAACCTTATTTATTTTTTACATACATAACAATATGTGTCTTATTGCTTTTCGAGTTCAGCGTTCTATGCATCGTAAGCACCTTGTACCTACAAAATACTTGGCTGCTTGATGTAAAGAATTTGAAAATAAATATATTCAAAATATTAATTTTAGTTGAATGCTGAACATGATCATTTAAAATATGATTTAAAATGGGTACATTATTTATAGAGTAAAACTCAGGAACAATTCAACATAATTCAATATATTTTATGAATATAAAAATTAGATTTCAAAATGTCAAAAAGGAAATTTTGTTGGAAATCAGAAAACTTGACAGAAAATGTCTAGTATGATACTACTTTGGTGTGTTCTTGGGTAAATCACTTTCTTCCCAAAACTTTTCTAATCTTTACACTGCAAAATAGAGATACATGAACTGTGTTACTCATGAGCTGGTGGAGAGGAATGAATGTGATACTGTATGAGAAATTATTTGAATAATGTAAATAACAAACATGTGCACAAAATTGTTCTTTTCATTATCATCCTTCTATTTACATACAGATCATTTGAGTTTAAAAAGCAGCATAAGAAGCATTTATTCACGATTTCTTCTTAATGAAATAGGCTACAAAAATCTGTTATCATTGTATTTGTTCATTTGTTCAACAAATATCTGCTCATCCACATACTGGTTTGTCGATCCTCTGGACCACTGTGCTGCAAAGTACACTTATTTGCCCACTTTTGGGCATTTTGTGTTGCTTCTCTGTTCCATTCCTAAATGTCAAAAGAAAAAAAAATGCACTTAATGATATAACCACAATGAAGCATATAATCAATATATTGATAAGCAATAATTTAAAACTTCTGTAGGATTATTATCTAATAATCATTCTTATTAAAATGCATTTTTGATGGCTTCATTTTTCAGTATGTCTTTATGTGCACCAATGCCCGCTTCCACACAAGGAGCAATCCATAGGTTGTTTGCCTAAGGACAGAAATACCTAAGATAAGAATATCTTATTTTTTATCTATCCACATTGATGATTTTTAGTAATGGTGCTACTCTTAGATATTGACAGACATGTGAAGTATTCCAATTATATTTTAATAGTAATAAGCTGGCCCAGATTATTCCCAGCTTCATTTGAAGCTTATCACTTTCAGATGGGAGATACTGGGCTTTTAGGGACAAATCTTGGAATGTGGAACTTTCATTTATATTAATAATGACAATGATTTTGAAGAAACAAAAGTTTCTTAAGACTAGAAAGATAGTGAACAAAAAAATGTGATGACTTCATCCTGGATGCTCAAAGATTTGGCTTCTAATTAAGCCTTCCCACTTGATAAGTCATTAGACCATCTTTCAAAACAAAAATAAGAAACACTGTCTTCCCCATATGAAAGTTGAAGTAAAACAGCAAAATAGAATGTTGCAAACCACGAAGTTTTAAAGAGATGCCTTTTTCCAGCTGCCTGCTCCTTTCACATCCCGTTCACACCATTTCTGCTTCTTACCATTTTTAACATGTTACTGGCAGGGGGAGAGACAGATTTCCTTAGTTCATTGTGTTTATTTACAATCTCCATTTGCACTTGTGTTTGGGTAGTTAACAAAGAAGTAAAAGCTGGATCCTAAAGGAAAATAAAATTTAAAACATTTTTGAAAATTGCTTATAATAGTGAATAAGTTAATTAAAAAGTCACAAAGATCAAAAAGTGTGTATTTAGTTGTGTAGTATTGCACAAATGTTAAAAGCAAATACTAGCCCTCAAGTGTTACAATGCATCTGAGCAAAAGCTGTGACTTAAATAGGAAAGTAGAAGACCAAAGTATTGAAAAGGGAGAGTAATTAAATTTAAAACTCTGAGGCCACAAATACGAGTATCTGGCTTCGAGAGAACTCTCAATGATTTTTTTTGTTAACATATAACAGATAATATTTTAAAACCACAAAGCTTCATGCATATTCATTCATATCTGATGAGGCGAATGAATGAGATGGAGTGAGGATGGAGCTCACAATTCATCCTCAATGTTTTAGGGGACTTTTTAATGACATGGTATCTACATTTAGAGAATGTTTAGGTTCAGCCCAAGCATATGCCAACCCAGCCAGTACTTAAGAAAAAATCATTTTTACTTATTTACTTTACATATTTACTTATTTTTAGGCTTGCTCAAAATACAGATTTGAGATATTAAAAAAATTTTCAAGGACTTTGGAGGGAGCAAGTTCATCCAATTCATGGACTTAACTTTTCCTTTTAATGACAAAAATGTAACTGATAAGATATTAAATGTAACTGAAAGATATTTTCAATTTATCTTTGTGGTTGTGGATATAGGGGAGCTCAGCCCTGGGTGGAATAGGGCATGTGGATTGTTGGTACAAGGACTAAATTTATATTTACAAAAGGGTTTGATGTTCTATTAGTATGAGAAAGATTTTGAAGTTCAAGTTTAAGTGAACAGAGCCCATTATAGATTTTTTTTCTGGTAATTTTGGGATACATTGCCCTCCTCTCCTCCCATATTTTGTTCCCTTCAAGTCTTTTCCAGTACTCTACTCATAGACCCTGAATTTTATTGCCAATATCTAGTATGGGTTTCATTTCTCTCTCCCAAGGATAAGGAAAAATTAGTCAATATCTTGTACCAATAGAAACAGCACAGCTACTGACCCCTAAGATAGAAGGGATGCACATGTTAACATCAGTAGTGGCCAATCTCTGCCATTTATCAAAACATAAAATAACATTGCTTGATATTTCCTATTAAATTAAAAAACCTTGTCAAAGTAGTTTCATTTCAAAAGGTAGTTTTCTTAAAAAAAGTACTTATTTTCTGCTTCTTATACCATCTTGCTTTGTAGGTAATAATTCTCCTGAAAAAGAAAGTTACTTTTTTTTTCAAACTGAGTACTAATAGAGCTTTGTTGGGGGAAAGAAAATATGTGAAGTATTGAGAATAATATGAATAAAATATGATAGCTGTCTACCTTTAAGGGCTCATATTGTATAGACAGTATGACATAAACAAAACTTTTATGAGAGGGATCTATAAGATAGAAAGGAAGGATTTATTATTCTTACTTGAGGAAGTTTTCACAAAAGATGATTCTGGATTGTAGTTTTTTGAAAGCTGAATACATTTTCTAGGCATCCTGAGATGAGATAGTATGGAAAATCATACCCACAAGACCATATACAGTGCTTCTGATCATTAGTTATACCAGAGGCAAAATGATTTTATAAATGAAGACCAGAGACAGATCAGAGAGATTAAAGGCATTAAGAAGGGTGATGAAAGAAAATCTGTTTGAGAAAGAAATAAGAAAGACAAGAAAACTATTGTACTGAAGCCCTAGTTGAGGAACAGATTCTCTCCAGACTGACATAAAGTCTGTATTTCTGAATGCCAAGCGAGGTCTGAACCAACTCAAAAGAGTTCTCCGGTCTAAGGAGTCCTGGTCTTGAACACTTAGAAGAAGGTATGAGAACAGACAGCGTGGACCAAAGCTGTGGTCTCCTGGCCAACTGAAAACTACACAGTCCCTCTTTTGAAGAGGATGATCGAACTTGTTTCTAAGGTCATTAAAGCAAAGGATCCAATTAGAAATAGAGGATTTGAATTCAAGACTTCACATACTAAGGAAGTTTTCACAAACTGATTCTATGACTGTTCATGCATAAAACAGTATGGCATTTTTTTAACTTATCAAATTCTATATCATAATTATAATGATTAAGTAATGGTGACATATGTGAAGAATTTTTTCCAATTTAAATTACATAAATGTGTTGCTATGTTTTTTTTTTGTAGGAACCACATACAAATGGAATAAAATAAGGAAATCAGAAAATATCTTGGGGCAGGAGGACTCTATCATTAGCTTTTTAAACCCAGAGACCCTGCTTTCCATTCAAAATGTACCTTAAGCCATCATATGCAATTTTAGTTGTAGATGGCCCTATTAAAGACTTAAGGAGAAAGATGAAACTTTAATGTATTTTATTTGTATGATGTGGTGGTCCCCCAAAAGATATGTCTATGTCCTAATTTCCAGAATCCACGAAAGTGATCTTATTTGGAGAAAACATCTTTGTGGATATAATTAAGTTAAGGCTCTTGGGATGAGATCATTATGAATTAATAAAATCTAAGTCCAATGACAAATGTTGTTACGAGCAACACAAAGAGAAAAAAATGTAATGTGAACATGGAGGCAGAGATTGGAGTCATATGACCACAAGTCAAGGATGTCAAAAATTGGCAGAAGCCACTAGAGGCTAGGAGAAATGCATGGAACAAATCTTTCCTAAATCTTTCATCAGAACTGCAGCTGTGCAGATACCTTGATTTTAGATTCTGGTCTCCACACTGTGAGAAAATAAATTTCTGTTCCTATAAGCCACCAAACTTGTGGTAATTTGTTACAATAGCCCTATGAACCTAATCCATTGTTTAACTAAATATCTAAAATACTACTGTTTAATTATGTATTTTAATATAAAAATGAGATTATTTTTGTTCTAAATCTTTGATCTCTGATGAGTATCTCAAACTTTCAGTACAACTTGTCTTTTTCAGCATTCAACAGTCATCTGTGACTGGGGGCTGCCACCCTCACCCGCTTACCTTCGCACAACACACCCTCGCCTCCTATCCTTCACAACCCATAACTGTGTCAAGTGCTCTGAGCTACCAATGAGCACTCTGTACCACACTATACACTCTTGTCCCTTCTGCTCTCAAAGTAGCTGGCCATCTCATGTAGTTTTTCTTTTTAATCTTACCTTTCCTTCAGCAGGTAAAGATGGAAGCAGCATAGCAATGAGAAGCAGCGCCATCGGAAGTAAAGCCATTGTTGGAAACTAAGTTAAAGCAAACAAAGGTCTTCATTGAAATAAAAAATCATGGGACTAAGAGAGGGAAACTAATATAATGACCCAAATTATACCAAGGAAGAGAGATTCCCTGGTTCATTAACAGTGTGACAAGAACTGCCATAGAGTGCCATATTGTCAAATTTGTTGTCATGTATTGTCCAATTTCCATAAATAGAAAAATACAAGTGCAATTAACAAATTGAAAATCTAGCCTTTTCAAGCTTGCTTAATCCATGAGTTGGTACAAAGGTTTTTAAATATTTTCATTCTCTTTTAAAAGACACTCAGCAGCACATTGCCAAAGGTGTCCTATCTTAATGTATCAGAAAATCCTAGGTCTTTTAAATGAAGGGGCAAGACCACTTACTTGGGGAAGCACTGATCTTCCCCATTGTTAATCTTATAAGATGTGTATCTTTCAATTAAAAGAATGATGTCTTGATTTATATCCCGTTTTACCACGATTATTTCAAAATCACAAGCATGAGCATTAAGTGTATGTTTCAGAATGAATGTAAAAAATTTAAATAGCAAATTGATACTGTTTTTGTGTACCAGTGCTATAATTTACTTTCATAACTTTGAAAGTTTTATTGAGATCATTCTCAAAATTTATCCCTCTCAAAATTTATCTCAGTTAAAAACTATGGATAAACTCATTAATAGATTATTTTACCCTTTGCACCATAAAAATGTTTGGTCTAATAAAATATTTACCTTAGAATAAATAACCACTTACTGTTGGTTCTCACGACAGAATAAAATACCTGCTTTCTCTGTAGAAAAAAGGAATTTGGAAAGAGAAGTTATAGCAGAATATATTATATGTCTTTGGGCAAATTCTGGTTGTGTATCTGAATCTCAATCAACAATGTTCTGCAATGGTATTTTTCATACCAATAATCTCCAATTTCATTGCCAGTTGTTTGATTTTGTTTTGACATTGGTTTCCACATTTGCTTTTAACATGATTAAGTAAAGCAAGATCCTCTCCCTTAACCAGCCCTCCCCATTTCTTAGGTCACAGTGACTCAGGAAACCTAGACAGGAGGATCGCAAGTTCAAAGCCAGCCTCAGCAATTTAGTGAGACCCTGTCTATAATAAAAATAAATTAATAAAACAGGCTATGTATGAATGTGAGTCAATGATAAAGCACCCCTGGATTAAATCCCCAGTAAATAAAACAAACAAAAATTTGGACACTGACTTTTTGGTTAAATATTTCCAAACTGATCATCCAAGACTAGTTAATTATGAGAAGATTGCCTAGACCTGCCTTGAGGCTGAACCTCCTGGTTCAGCTTTGTATAACCTTACTTTCTACCTTTGCATAACCTTACTTACTACCCACCTGTAGCTTACTATTGGTTAGAAGTATAGTCTTTGGGAACAATCATGTTTCAAAGATCCTCCCTGAGCTTCAGTTCTCTATTATGGAAAATAAGATTAACACATTACAGGTTGTTTTGAAAACTGAAAGGCATAATACATGTGAAAAACTACTACAATATTTACATAATACGATGCGTATAACCCTCAGTAAATGGAAATTATTGTTTATTATTATCCTTTGCAATGTCTGGATTTTGCTGAGCTCATAAAAAATTTCCATGAAAACTTGCTTTCTGAATTTCCAGTATCAGATGTGTTTGTGACCTATTCTTCCTTCCAGGTATTATTGGGGGGAAAAAAGCATTATAATCTAATTAGGGATTCAATTGTTCAAGGATTAGTTTTGGCCAACTTTAGGAAAATAGTCTAACATCAAAGTTGCTGTATCCTGTTATCCTGATGGCTCATTGAAAATAATGCACATGAGCCTAAAGATTTTTTTATAGCTCAGTCACCCAATATGCTATATTAGGGTAATAATAATAATAATAATAATAATAATAATAATAATAATAATAATAATAATTTCACAGTTCAGGAGACCATATTCTCCTCTTTGACATTTTCCTCTCCCATACCCTTGCCCATCCAACATATAATCTTCTTTGTTGCATCAATAAAAGTAACAGCACTGTTGGTGAAAGTATTTTCAAGGAAAAATTTCCCCCATCCATTAAGTTTGTATTTTATCCCTTTAAACCCACATTCATATGTAGTTGAAAAGTTGGCTACCATTTTATCCTTGATACTTACTGATGGAAAAGCACCATGCCTTTTCTTGTAGGTGTTTTAAGAACAGGATGACATGGTTCTCCTGGGGTGTTTACAGGAGGAGCATGGTGTATGGTTTCATAATTCTAGAACAGGGACACATAACATTTGAGATGAAGATTTGAAGAACATAAAATATAGTATATTATTTCTGCCAACATCTTAAAGCTAATTCGACTGTTCAGTATTGTTCTCTAAGAGTTTAGTATAATCATGATCTCACCATTAGGACTATATAATCTCCCTCTGAGAGGAGATTGTGTTTCAATGTCCTCTTATTTCTTTCAAACATTAACAAAAAAGTATAGTTCTTAAGGAAGTTCAGGAACTGTTGGTTGGCTGACTTCCTTGGAAAATCTAGCATATTTTCAAGACTCCTGACTCCTTATCTAGGACTTCAATCTGTACCCTCTTCAAAATATAATTTCTATAAGTAGTCTCCCACACAGTGAGCGATAACGATATGGATTTGGGGTCACACCTCTCGCTCTTCAATCCTAGAAGCCAATAGATAACAGAAAATCCAGAAGAGTCAACCACCCCAGTTCTAATTATAATACTTACAGTTTCTGTAAGTGTGTATTCACAGCATTAATAAGAAACTAAAGTTCTTAATTTGACCTCAGGAAAGGCCAGGCTTAGAAATGATTTCAAAATTTATAAATGACTCCCTCTCAGTAGGAGTCACGTGAATGGATGATTTATCTTTTAAGACAGGAGAGGAGTTTCAAACAGCTTGACTTATGTAGGACAGTCTTCCATGCATCAATGCGAGGCCACAAAACCGAAATACCAGTCATCTCTGAATCTGGTGAAGCCCCTTCACCTCACAGATCACTCTCTTCCCTCTTCACCCCATCCCTGGCCCCCGCTCCCGACCTTGGTCATTTGGAGTTTCCCAGCCTGCTCTTAAGATTTACCCTGGCTCCAAGGCACAGATCTTGGTGCTTTAGGGCTGGAGCCAGAAAGCTGCTGCTAATAACGCCCCTCCCACGGCGATTGTAAACCCCTCATGTCGCCACGTGGGGGCGACGTCATCAGGCTTTGTGCCTTCAGCATTAAGGGTCCCCTACGTGGGCTCTCTCCAACGCTTCCCCATCCACCTTAGGACTGTACCTAGAGAATTCTGCACATAAATTTTCCCTTAAGAAAAGTCTCATTACCGCCATTTACTGAGGAAATAAATGTCTCTTAGCATACCTGGGCAGTAGTAGGAGAAGGAATGCTCAGAAGTGTGGCTGAGAAAGGAGATGTTCTTTTTCGGATGCCTGAATTAATGTGGTTTATAATTTAAAAAGGAAATTGGAAAAGTCCACATAAGTTTACCTTTGCAGGGCCAACAGTGAGCTTATGTAAAGTTGTGAGCTTGAGGGTTTGCTCATGAATGCTTTATATTCGCAATCTTCTTCCTTTCATGGTAGTTTTATCAGAAAATTCAAGAATACTTAACAGGATGAACTCTTTTAGGAAAATACTGAGGATTCCTGAGATGTGGCTGCAGCTATTCCAGGCATTGGTTGATGAGATGTGCTATCTTTTTCCGAAGAAGACCTGTGAGTGATAGACACATTTTCTTTTGTGCTTAGATGTTTTTTCACAATGAAAAAGAATGAATTAGCTCATCAGGTAGAGGAAGGGTTTGGTAAAAAGATATTAAGCCAAGGAGTAACATCCACCACACTTAGTCCTCTGTATATGGTGGAAAAAGAAGCTTGGCATTCTCATTTGCATCTTTATAGCTCAGTTAGGTACAACTGCAACTGAAATGCACTGCTATGTTTCTTGATGCTTAGTGCATTCCTTTGACAGTGTAATAAAGTAATTTCAAGTGGCTAATGCACTGACATCTTAGCTCTCCAGTGACTTTTGTTTAGATTCATGTGCCCTTGACTAAAACAAGTCTCTTGAGTTTTGACATCATCCTAGACTACTTACTCTTTGTAGTTACATCCTATTAAATTCATTTCTGAAAGTTTGCCTTTCTAAATATTTTTCAAATTTATCTTTTGGCATCTTTTACTGCTATTTTTATGTTTTTACCATCTCTTGCCTAGATTATTAACATTTAAAATACTTATATCCATGAAATCTCTACTTATCTTTATATAAATAAATTTATTTGGAACATTTGTTCTTTTTTTCTGCTGCAAAATAATTTCTTGCTTTTTTGGGGGGTGGGTGAGGGGAGAATTACCAGGGATTTAACTCAGGGGCATTCGGCCATTGAATCCCATACCTAGCTATATTTTGTATTTTATTTAGAGACAGGGTCTCACTGAGTTGCTTAGCACTTCGCTTTGCTGAGGCTGGCTTTGAACTCATGATCCTCCTTCCTCGGCCTCCTAAGACACTGGGATTACAGGCATGGGCCACCATAACCAACAACAATTCTTCCTTAAGTGAACATTTTGCTTTCATTTTTAGAGACATTGTATCTATAATTTTTACTTTCCCCATCTTCACCATAGAAAATGCCAGAATGAGAGCAACCTGATATTTCTTGAATATTGCTATAGCTTCAAAGCTTAACACAATACTGATTTCATAGATGGCAGTTATTAAATAAAAGCCAAGTGAATAAATATTGACCTACTGTAAATTCTTAGAGAATACAGAGAAAAGAACACAATTTTTCCTCTTAAACTTATAGTATATACAAGAGATATATTACAATGCATAAGTAAATAATATTACCAGTAGGAAAACTTAGTGCTAGGTAAATGGAATAGTTAAAAAATATCATGGGGAGTTCTCTGAGTTAATATGATCTGGGTAAAAACTAAATGTACCTTGACATTTGAACTGTCTAATGATATGTGTGACATGATTAGAAAAGAAAAAATAAAAGGATTTAGTATATTTGGTTGGAAGAACAAAAGAAGACAAATTTATCACAAAACATATTTAAGCTAAACATATAGACTGTTGAAAATATTGGGAAAACTTTATCGAAGTAGAAGGAGATTTGCTTCTCTGTATAACATGGGGAAGTAATTTCAATGATATTTTGGTAGATTGGGAAATTATATGACCAAAATATCATTTCATGATAGTTACCTGATAACAATGTGCAGGATGGTTTCTGAGAAATTGGCAGCAGGAAGAATAAGTGTGTGGTGACAATTTTCCACATTAATTTTGTAGGAGGAGAAATAGGAAAAAAAAAGGTGAGGTGTTCAGAGATAATAAAAAGTGCTTATAATGAATTTCAGAATTTCATATGAAGGGCCAAACTCAAATAGAAGAAGTCTGTAGATTTGGATTTTATGTTGCAGAGTATAAGGAAAACATCTCCATTTTTGAGAGGAACAGTATAGGTACGGTTAGGTACTCATGTCAGATCACAGATCAGCAGTGTGCTGAGATAGCAGCTTTGAACATGCTTTGGGGATGAGAGAGCTTGCTTCTCATCTATGATTTCACTGATGAACTGTGTAGCCCTGCCGCAGTCCGGCTGCAGCAAAATAATTGGGGGGGGGGGCGGGTGACGAGGAACTTGCGTAGATTGATACAGCAGGAGTGGGAGCCGTTTATTGTAGGACAACAGCAGTATTTATACATTCCACACAGCTTATCTAAAATTAACATAAACTCGATACAACAGTCAACCAATAAGGAATCTCCACACTTAATGGCTCTCTGGGTGTTACTTTACAAACCACTCCCTCTGGCATTTTGCCAGGCGCCATCCAGACTTGTTTACAGACTCTAACATTTCTCTGGCAAAATGCCAGGCGCCGTCCTCTACAATGAAAACTACAGAACTAAAAAAAAGTGATTGAAGAAAGCCTTAAAAAATAGAAAGATTTTCAATGTTATTGGATAGGCAGAATTAATGTTAAAATGGCCATACTATCAATACCTTTGGAAGTGAGTTGGGAATAGGAAAGACAGTGTAATGAATCTTACATAACTTTCCTATGTTCATATATGAATGCATGACAAGTGTAACTCCACATCACATTCAACCACAAGAATGAGATCAAAATTTTAATGGTTTGCACCCCATGTATGTATAATATGTCAAAATACACCCTGCCGTGATGTATGTCTAAAAACAAAAAAAGAACCTTAGGATTCTCCTGCAATTAGGACTCTAGTCTGCAGTGTTTTCTGGATCTACACCCCCTGTTTTAATTATGTTTGCAAGTTTCTCTTCCTTAGGCAGAGGGCTACACAATTGCTCTGTACTGTGCATTGCTCAGTGTTGCTTTTCCAGTTTTATTCATACTATTCAGGTTTCTCATTAAGTCTGCTTTCCAAAATGATTTGTCTCTTTCTTACCTTTAAATACTGTTTCTCCTTTGCTATGTGGACTTTTCTCACAGTCTCACGAAGGGTACTTTATTCCACCATCTTGCCTCCTCCTTTTTCCTAATATGTCAACTTTTCCTGACTCAGAGGATACTATGGAACCAGGTTCCTGTCTGACACTCCTATCTCATTTTAAGATTTGTTTACTCTATTCACACTGTTCAGCTATCTAGACTCCTTGCCAAGTTTGTTCCTACCTCAATTACTTTTTATTCACTAATATTTTTATCTGATTGTTTTCTTCATCTAATCTTATAATTTATTGTTGTCTTACTTTCATTGTGTTCCTGAATAAATATCATCACATTAGAGAATATTTACATGACAATCCTATGTAAATTCACATTTCCCTTTCCCAGTCTATTCCCATTATTCTTTACCCTCTTCTTCATTTTAATTCACAGAAATGATCACTTCCTAATATCAAATTAGGTATGGGTTTGCAAAACAGTTTTCTCCCTTCTATACTAACATGTAAACTCCATGATTTTGGAATTGGTCTGTCTTCTTAACTGCTCTATTTCAAAGTGTCTAACTAGACAAAAATCTTCTTCCATAAATGCTACTGAACCCAAGAATGAATTAAAACACATTGTGATGTCACCTATGGAAAGAAATGCAGGAAGCTCTGAGAGATAATAGAGGACACTTCTTTAGATACTTTCTGCAAAAAATGTTTACTCATAAAATATTTGCTGGGAATTAGCAGTTCCAACAATCCCTGGAGGGAGGAGTCTGTCAAACAGAGCTACTAGCAAAAACAAATGCCCTGAGATATGAAGGACATTGAGGATCAAGAGAAGATTTAAAGTGCTCATGGTATTAGAAAAAGAAATGAAGGAGAGTGAAAGGAAGTGAGATTCGAAAGCAGAGAACGATTATTCAGCATTTGCATATCAATTTAAATACTCTATTTTCATAAGTACTTGTGAAGTCTATTGGAAATGTATGAATGAAAACTAGTTAAGAAGTGTGTTAGAGATTAGAATGCTGCTAAAATAACATCAGTGAACTGCATCACCAATTTTGAAACTCCCTGCTTTTCTTTGCTTCATATCTACTCATATCCTTGAAGTTATTAGTGAAGATTGATACTTTATAACCATGTGGTTCAGATCTGACAAAGCAATTATTGGTATTATCTGAAAGTTCACAAAATATATGTCAGAATTACAAATCTAGGAATTGAATTGAGGAGTTAAAGGTGAGGGAGCAAGTCTTAGAGAAAATAATCATATATTCTGGGGAAAAGAGTGATGCATTATCGTATAGCCTGGAAAAATAAACTTATTTTTTGTTTTTAAAAATATTGTGTTTATCTTAGAGTATTTTTAGATTTAAAGTAATTTTTTTAAGATAGTACAGTAAATATCCATATATTCCTCATCCATTTTGCAGTTTCTTCATTGTTATCATCTTACATCATGCTGGTGCATTTCGGTTTTGAGAAGTATTGTTAAACTCTCAGGAGTATTGTGTAGAATGCCCCTCGCTTTGGCTTTGGGCTTGTCTCATCTTTTAGCTTATGATCACAATGAGATGCATTTCTAGGGAAAATGCTAAAAAGGCTGAAGAAATGAAATCACATGGCATGTCATTGGTAGTGTTAATCTGGATCACTTGGATAAGGCAGCATTTGCCAGATTTCTTCAGCACAAAATGATCATTTTTCTTTTTGCATTATCTGTTCTTTGAAAGTGAATCAGTCAATTTAGTGCAGACTGAAAAGTGAGGGAACT